ATGCAAACAACTAGGTGATTTGAAATGGTCAATGGTAAGAAATGTATACTCAAATCTATCAATATCTGCAGTTGAAAAACTCAGCATTTCTTATCAGTTAAAGAAGTTCAAAGGATTCTCATAATGAATCATACTCCAGGGGAGGGGCAAGGTGATCAAGAAGAGATGTTGAAGAAATGTGTAACCTTGATACGGTAATTTCAAGGAGAGGTTGTTGACACTGCTAATGGCAGAGTATAGGCTTTTAATGTTAAAACTTTACGGTCAGGTTTGGGTGGATGGAGTGGTCATTCCTTCGTCGTCAAACTATAAAAACATTACACACAAAAATAGTTATTCCTTATAACCAAGACTTAATGAGAGGTGTAATTAGCTATTACCATTTATCTTATTTTTACCGGTTTGATCAAGTAATTAAAATATACAACTGACCAAAAAAATGTCATACCTCTAAAGATGATAAGAGTGGCTAGAGTTAAGATCTCTAATTCGTGACTTCTAATGGTTTCAGCTACAGCATTACTTCGACACAAAGCAAAAGCAGGCAACCTGGAGAAGAACAATTATTAAAATCTAGATGTTATTGATAACATGACTGCTGTTTAGACCAGTGATTGAAATTAAACCCAAACCAGAATGACAAAAGAAAATGTTACATTCACTTACCTTTCATTTTTCTGCTTAGCAAGCAGCTCTGCCCTGAGTGGCCTGAGACTTCTCACAGTTGACTCTACAAGATCCATATCCTGTTTAACCCTGTCATCTAACCAACTCTGTTCCAAGAAGAAGAACACTCAAATATCTTGTCATCAATATTCATTGTCAGGATAACCAACCTAAACTTAACCAGCCAAAAGAGATCTTGTTGAAGAATTTTCAAAATATTTCCAAGATTTGAGTTCGAGTCACAAAAAGTTGGTTCGAAAAGTTGGTTTGAAATAATTGCACATAATGCATTTGAGAAAGTGTAACTTTAGTTCGAATTATATAATTATGGTTCAAACCATTTATGTAAAACTAGAATCCGGAAAGTTACGATTTTGATTCGAACTACATTTATCTTGTTTGAACTATTTACGTCAGAAATAAGAGATATAATTCTGATAATTTTCTAAAGAGTGTGGATAACTTTGGAAGGCAAGGAGACATGTGAGTTGGAGTTCAAATAAAACCAAATGACTTTTGGAAGAGTTTTCAACGGATAAATTTCATGAAAACTTAGTTATTATTTGTTAATAAATTGATAATAAATTGAAAATGAGTGTTTGTTCCCATCAGACATCTTGCCCCTATAAATATGAAGTTATCTATTCTTCTTCTTCATCTCTTGAACCCAGAAACAAACCCCTACTATTATTTAAATAAAATAGCCCCTTTTTGCACTTCGATTGCTGTAGAAATCCTTGTACAAAAGCTATTATTTTGTTGCTTTCCAAAAGATGGTTAGTGGTTGATCTTGCTAGTGAAAAGGCAAGATCAACAAGGCGCTTCATTGTATCCTATGGACATTTTGGGTTATCCCTTTTGCATACCAGATATGGTGGGGGCGAAATTAGCCTAAAGGAAAGTGGCATTTATAGCACGTCTTGAGGCCATTTGCAAATTTTCTAGCCTATTTCTCCAACAATCTTTAGGCTAATTTTCTATTATGCAATTATGGCTGCAGCTTTGCGTGAGATGGCTACTAATTTCCATAAGTTAGATTGCTTTGATGGGGGCAACTTCATTCGATGGCAACGTAAGATGCACATCCTTCTCACAACTCTCAACATCGTTTATGTTCTCACTGATGCTTGACCAGAGGAAAATGAGAATGAAACTTTACAAGATACAAGGAAAAGGAAAAAGTGGGAGAATGATGATTATGTCTGCAGGGGCTGCATCTTAAATGGAATGTCTGATTCCCTTTTTAATACCTATGTTCATGAGTCTATTGCAAAACAATTGTGGGATAAGTTAGAAGCAAGATATATGAATGAAGATGCAACAAGTAATAAGTTTCTGGTGACCAAATGGAATAATTATAAAATGATTGATAACAAATCAGTCATGGAACAATTTAGAGAAATTGAAAAGTTGCTGAATAGTTTCAAGCAATATGATATGAAGATGGATGAATCCATAGTTGTGTCTTCAATAATTGGTAAACTTTCTCATGCATGGAAAGATTTCAAGAGAACACTGAAACATAAAAAGAAATATAGAAAATCTTGCTAACTCTTTGAGATTTGAAGAGCAATATAGAGCAAAAAATGAAAAGGAGCAAAAAGTGCAAGTCTCGGATGTGCATGTATTGGAGGAAGGAACTTCAAGCAAGCCCAAAAAGCCTTTTAAGAAGGAGTATTCTGTCAAGCAAAATTAGAAATTTAAGAAGCAAAAGGGTGCATGTTTCCATTGTGGAAAAATTAGATACTTCAAAATGGAGTGTTATTTTCTTAAGAAGAAAAGGAATGCACCAACATTATCACATGAAAAAGTCATTGTTGTGATTTCTGAAATTAATCTCATGGAAGATGACATTGCTTGGTGGATAGATTTTGGTGCTACAAAACATGTTTGCAAGGACAAAAGTTTATTCAAGACTTTAAAACTAGAACCTGAAAGGAGTGTGCTGTATGTGGGAAATTCTACAACAATACAAGTGAAAGGCAAAGGAACCGTGGACCTTGAGTTCACTTTTGGAAAAGTTCTCACTCTCACTGATGTACATTATGTGCCAGATATCAAGAAAACTCTAGTTTCAGCAAGTTTGTTGAACAAATTTGGTTTTAAACTTGTATTTGAGGTAGATAAATTTATTGTTTAAATGTGAGATTTTTGTAGGAAAAGGCTATGCTTGTAAGGGCATGTTCAAGATGAACATTAATAATAATACTAACAATAAGATAAATTTATACTGTCTAAGGGTGGGATTTTTGTAAGAAAATGCTATGCTTGTGAGGGCATGTTCAATATGAACATTAATAATAATACTAATAATAAAGGTGTTGTTTCTACTTATATTCTTGACTCGTTTAATTTATAGCATCATAGATTAGGACATGCTAATTTCAGGAAGATACATGAGATGTCTAAATTAGAACTAATTCCTACCTTACCTAAAAATGAATCACAATGCAAGACATGTATGCTTATTAAGATTACTAGAATTCCTTTTCCTAAGAGTAAAAGAGTTTCTAAATTGCTTGATCTTGTGCATAGTGATGTTTGTGACATGCATAGTACTCCTACTATTTCTGGCAAGAAATATTATGTTACTTTTATTGATGATTATTCAAAATTATGTTATGTTTACTTGTTAAATAGAAAAGATGAAGCAATGGAAAAATTCAAAGTTTATAGAGCAGAAGTGAAATTGCAAAGTGAGACATTTATCAAATGTCTAAGAACTGATAGAGGTGGGGAATATTATGATCCATCTTGCTTTGAATCCACTAGAATTATCCATGAGATAATAGTCCAATACACACCACAACAAAATGGTGTGGTAGAACATAAGAATAGAGTTTTAACTGAAATGGTGAATGCCATGTTATCAAATTTTGGTTTAAGTCCAAATTTTTGGGGTGAAGCATTGCTAACAACATGCCATATATTGAATAGGGTGCCTACTAAAAAAGGCCATGTTATCGCATAGGAACTTTGGAAGAAAAGAAAACCAAACCTTAACTATTTAAGAGTTTGGGGTTGTAGAGCAATTGTAAAGGTACCTGAACCCAAAAGGAAAAAGGTTAGGTGAAAGAGAATTGAATGTATATTTTTGGGGTATGTAGAAAATAGTAAGGCATACCAGTTTATGGTCATTGAACCAAATGATTCAATTAATGTCAATACCATAATTAAATTAAGAGATGCTATCTTTGAAGAGAGCAGATTTAATTCAATTCCTAAACCTAAAGAAGCAATTGTTGAAAGTTCAGAACAAAGAATAGAAGACAACTTGCAAGAAAACAAGTTGGAAGAAAACAATGAAGTTAGAAGAAGCAAAAGAGCTAGAAAAGCAAGAACATATGGTCTAGAATTTTACATGTTTCTTATTGAAGGAACAAGAGAAAAGATAAGGAAAGCAACTAAATTTTGTTATAATATAGAAGCTGATCCTATGACATTTGAAGAAGTAATTAAGTCACAAGATTCAACTTTTTGGAAGGAAGCCATAGATGAGGAAATGAGTTCCATAATGGGGAATAACACATGGATTTTAGTGGATCTCCCACCAAGTTGCAAACCTCTAGGTTGCAAATGGATTTTCAAAAAGAAACTGAAAGTTGATGGCACAATAGACAAATTCAAGGCAAGATTAGTGGCAAAAGGCTATTCACAAAACCATGGTATAGATTATTTTGATACCTATGTTCCGGTAGCAAGGATTGCCACTATAAGAGTATTAATTGCTTTGGCATCAATTTACAAATTGGTAATTCACCAAATAGATGTTAAAACAGCATTTTTAAATGTTGACTTAGATGAAGAAGTATACATGGAGCAACTAGAAGGGTTTGTGATGCCTGGTCAAGAAAAGACAGTTTGCAAGCTTGTAAAATCCTTGTATGGACTTAAGCAAGCCCCTAAACAATGGCATCAAAATTTGATGAAGTCGTGCTTGCTAATGGCTTCAATTTAAATGAAGTAGATAAATGTGTTTATAGCAAGTTTAAAAATGGACAAGGTGTTCTTATATGCCTATATGTAGATGACATGCTTATCTTTAGTACCAACATAGAACAAGTTGAAGAAACCAAAAGGTTCTTGTCTAGAAACTTTTCCATGAAAGACATGGGTGCTGCTGATGTGATTTTGAGAATAAAAATTCATAGAGATGGTGATAATTTAATCCTTTCTCAGTCCCATTATATAGAAAAAGTCTTGAAGAAATTTAATTTTTATGATTGTGTAATTATTTCTACACCTTTTGATCCTAATGTAAGGTTAACATCTAATGATGGAAAACCAATTGCACAATTAGAATATTCAAGAGTGATTGGATGTTTGATGTATGCAATGATTTGCACAAGACCATATATAGCATATGCTGTTGGGAAACTTAGTAGATACACAAGTAATCCCAGTTCTTTACATTGGCAAGTAATACATAGAGTCTTGAAATATCTCAAGAAAACTATGTATTATGGCATTTGTTATAATGGTTATCGTTCTGTACTAGAAGGCTTCATGGATGCTAGTTGGATCATGAATCATGAGGATCATAAATCCACAATTGGATGGATTTTCATGCTTAGTGGGGGTGTTGTCTCTTGGGGATCCAAGAAGCAAACTTGCATAACAGACTCCACCATGGCAGTTGAGTTTATTGCTTTAAACTCTGCATGTAAAGAAGGGGAATGGTTGAAAGATTTACTATATGAAATTCCTTTATGGCCAAAGCCAATGTCCCCAATCTCAATACACTGTGATAATGAGGCTACATTAGCAAAAGCTTATAGCCAAGTATATAATGGAAAGTGTAGACATATTGGTCTAAAACATAGTTATGTAAGACAATTAATTGTTGATGGGGTGATCACCATAGACTATGTGAAGTGTAGTGAAAATTTAGCAGATCCTTTAACAAAAGGATTAACAAGAGAAAAAGTATATAAAACATCTATAAGGATGGGTCTCAAGTCCATTGATAAACGTCACACATGATGGAACTTCAACTTAACACTTGATAAAAACTTCAAGGCTCGAGTTCAATGAGTAAAGTACATCATTGATAATCGTATGAAATAAAGAGGAGGTTGAGTTTTACTCTTAATAGGTCCTATAATAGATTTCTGTTAAAGTGCTTAATGCAATAACAGTTTTGATGGGATTTACCTATATGAGGGGAAGTGGTGTCGCTTCTAGGAGTTGGGGACTTGACTCTAATAGCACTCATGAAAATGATACAAAACACATGGCCAGTTTTTGTGTCAGTGGATGCTGAATTCCTTCTTTGAAAGCTTGAAGTCTTATGTGTGACATGTGCCCAATTAGTTACTTAGAATCGTTGGTTCAAAGCATAAGTCTACCACGCAATGCTGAGTAATTTGCCAACACATGTTCACTAAGTGAAAGGTTCAAATCGTAAGATACCTTCATGTATGCATAAGATTTCCAAAACAATTGGTGAGCTGATCTATTTTGAAAATGGTGGGGGAATGTTGAAGAATTTTCAAAATATTTCCAAGATTTGGGTTTGAATCACAAAAAGTTGATTCGAAGCAATTGCATAAAATGCATTTGAGAAAGTGTAACTTTGGTTCGAATTATATAATTATGGTTTGAACTATTTATGTAAAACTAGAACTCGGAAAGTTACGATTTTAATTCAAACCACATTTATTATCTGGTTCAAACCATTTACGTCATAAATAATAAATAAAATTCTAATAAATTTCTGAAGAGAGTGGATAACTTTGGAAGGCAAGGAAGCACATGAGTTGGAGTTTAAATCAAACTAAATGACTTTTGGAAGAGTTTCCAACGAACAAATTTCATGAAAACTCAGTTATTATTCATTAATAAACTGATAATAAACTGAAAAAGAGCGTTAGTTCCCAACAAAAATCTTGCCCCTATAAATATGAAGTTATCTCTTCTATTTCTTCTTCATCTCTTGAACCTAGAAACAAACCCCTACTATTATCTAAATAAAACAGCCCCTTTTTGCACGTCGATTGTTGCAGAAATCTCTATACAAAAGCTATTGTTTTATTGCTTTCCAAAAAACGGTTCAGTGGTTGATCTTGCTAGTGCAAAGGCAAGATCAACAAGGCACTTCATTGTATCTTACGAACATTTTGAGTTACTCCTTTTGCATACCAGATCTAGTGGGGACGAGATTAACTCGAAAGAAAGTGGCATTTGTAGCATGCCTTGAAGCCATTTGTAGATTTTCTACCCTATTTTTCCAACAGATCTTTGGTGCTATGTATACTACTGATAAAAATTCATTAAAATTCTAAAATCTTGAAGTTAGATAAAAAAAATATAAGAAAACACAAACATATTTGATTAGCTGCTATGTTGTAAGAGTAAAGGTTAAGAACCAAATGAAACTTACTCAGACATGGCTACTTAAATTAAATTACCTCAACAGGTGATGGATACTCGCACATCATTATGGACTCTTTTCTTGCAAGGTCCCTTGCACCAAGTAGGCGCTGCCACAATTCTTCAGTAAGAAATGGCATAAAAGGATGAAGCAAGCGTAGACCAGTTTCAAGACACAGCCAAAGAGCATCTTTTGCACATCTCCTTTCAGAGGAAAATGCCAGATAATCTCCAGCAAAGTAGGGCTTGATAGCTTCGATGAAAAGATCACAAAACTGATATTGCCACCATGAATATACACAGGGCTGGCTGCATCTGAAAACTCGTATGAATTCAAGGGCTCTACTGTTTTTTTTTTTTTTATAACTTTATTCAGCACTGAAAGAATCCAAGTGCAACCCAAAGGCATTGTCTCTGGATTTATGGTTGATGGAGGTGCGTATAATCATCTCCAAGTTTGGTCAATCCAAATCGTACAGCATTCCAAAGCTTGTTACACCATAGTCGATAACCAACAACTGGTTGGAAATCCAAATTGATTTTATTTAACTGAAAGGACAAAACAATGTTGCAGTGTCACTTAACAACTTCAAGGGATATGCCATTTATTACTTCAAGAGGATCAATTACATTTCCCAGAGACTTTGACATCTTACGGCCATGCGCATCACGTATCATAGGGTGCAAATAAACCTGCATAGCATTAAATTCATTGACAGATAAGAAATCTATAGAAAACCTTGCAAGTAAACAACCAACAATGCCAAGGTTTACGTACAGTGTAGGAAAAATATTCCCACCTTAGTAAAGGGCACATCACCTCCCAGTTTAATTCCTAACATAACCATTCTAGCCACCTAGAAGAAGAGAATGTCATGTCCAGTTTCAAGGACTGATGTTGGGTAGAAGGTCTTTAAGTCGTTGGTATCATCAGCCATCCCAGGATAGATAAAGTAAAAAGGCCAGAAGAAAACCAGGTGTCTAGTACATCTGGATCTTGAAAAATCTCAAATTTTTTCCCAGCAAATCTTTGGTTTGCTTCTGCTAAAGCTTCTTTCTCATCTCTAGCAACTATCCAGTTGTCATTATCTGTTCCATGTTCCTTCAATTCATTGTCTTCTAGTTTAATGCACCATGCAGGAACCTGGTGACCCCACCATAGCTGCCTTGAGATGCACCAATCACGTGGGTTATCAAGCCATCTGTAATCTCAAGTATTGAAGGCAAATCATTAGTGGAATATAATCAGGAATTATGACCACAGATTAAACTATATGACAACAAACTTAAGGTTCATTAATGTTAATGCATTAAGTGAAATTCATTATTCATTAGCAGTAATGAAGGCATTACCACCTCTTCCATTCGGCGGTATATTGTCTTGGAATGAACTCCAGCTTCCTATTTTTATCATCCATAGCTGCATCAAGAGTCTGCTTTGCCATCTTACTACAGTTAATGTACCACTGGGGCTTTGCCATTGGCTCCACAACATCATGGCTTCTTGAGCAAATTCCAAGACTCATGAAAGTATAAAAATATATATTTAAAATGCACTTAACCATTGATAATTGTAGAATTATGGGCTTAAGAATTGTATTTTTTTATAAGTAATTTTATAATTGTTCATTTTATTCATGTTGTGCAAATTTTTGGTAATTGAAGATTTGATAACTACATGGAGAGAATTAGAAGAAAATGACTCAAATGCAAAGGGCTAGAAAGATGAGGGTCCAAGGATCAAATTTAAAAGTTAATTTGAAGGCTCAAGTGAGATTTTCTCCTTTTGATTAAGGGGTACATTGCAAAGATCAGAAATATGATGATCAACTTGCGTGGAATCCAGGAGTTAGGGACCAAGACTGTTATTCTGTCATTAACCAAAATTGCACAAAAGGTCAAAAACCCGACAGGGGTATCCAGCTGCGCTTCACTCAGGGTGCCGGCACTTTATTGAAGGTGTCGACCCTTACGAGATTTTTCAGCTACACTATCTATCCTAATTATTTTCACGTGAATTACAGCCATTATAATTAGAGTTTTTAAAATTTTATAAATACTCATCTAAACTCAGAATTGAGGACAGGAGAGCTGCTTTTAAGCTCCTATTTTCTTCTTTTTTTAATATTAAAGAATTATGTCAAAATGCCTAACTAAACTTATTTTTAATTAAAAATTTTGATTTGTTATTTTATTTTAATTTTTTCATAAATTTTATTCTTTTATTTTAGTTTTGCAGAATTATTAATTATTTTTATATTAAAAAACCTTAAAAATTATATTTACCAAATTTCATATAAAATTAATCAAACTGATAATACGTAGATTTGTTTTAAATTTCATATAAAAATTTTATATAGCTTCATTGCTATGCACACTATGACGTGGATATACGCACATTACAATGTAGTTTCTTGGCATTAATTAACGTAATTTATGTATTATGTTAAATAGTATATTAAAAGGATA